TATATAGGAAGGGATAAACAGTAAGATAGCAACATTTGCAGATGATACCAAACTGCTCAAGATAGTTAAGACCAAAGCAGACTGTGAAGAGCTTCAAAAAGGTCTCACCAAACGAAGTGACTGGGCAACAAAATGGCAAATGAAATTTAATGTTGATAAATGTGAAGTAATGCACACTGGAAAAAAATAATCTCAACTATATATATAATATGATGGGGGCTGATTTGGCTATAACTACTCAAGAGAAGGATCTTGGAGTCATTGTGGATAGTTCTCTGAAAACATCCACTCAGTGTGCAGTGGCAGTCAAAAAAAGCAAATAAAATGTTAGGAGTCATTAAAAAAGGGATAGAGAATAAGATAGAAAATATCTTATTGCCTCTATATAAATCCATGGTACACCCACATCTTGAATACTGTGTACAGATGTGGTCACCACATTTCAAAAAAGATATATTGGCATTGGAAAAGGTTCTGAAAAGGGCAACAAAAATGATTAGGGGTGTGGAACGGGTCCCAAATGAAGAGAGATTAAAAAGACTTGGACTTTTAAACTTAGAAAAGAAGAGACTAAATATAGGGGGATATAATAGAGATCTATAAATCATGACTGATATGGAAAAAGTGAATAAGAAAAAGTTATTTACGTATTCCCACAATATAAGAATTAGGGGTCACCAAAAGAAATTAAGAGGCAGCAGGTTTAAAACAAACAAAAGGAAGTTTTTCTTCACTCAGCGCATAGTCAACCTGTAGAACTCCTTGCCAGAGGATGCGGTGAAGGCTAGAACTTTAACAGGGTTCAAAGAAGATCTAGACAGATTCATGGAGGTTAATTCCATCGATGGTTATTAGCCAGAATAAGTAAGAATGATATCCCTAGCCTCTGTTTCTCTGGAGGTGGGTGACAGGGGAAGGATCACGTGAAGATTACTTGTTGTGATCTCTCCCTCTGGGGTATCTGGTGTTGGCCACAGTCAGCAAACACGATACTCGGCTAGATGGACCTTTGGTCTGACCCAGTCTGGCCATTCTTATGTTCTTAGACTATTTTAGTCCAAACAGTTAATCTGACATTTTTGGCTCCACTGTGCAAAAGCCTTTGTCTCAGCAAAACTAGTTTTAACTGTACACTATCCTTTTTAAAGAACTGTTTCCCTATCTGGTTTGATTTTTTTACTCAATTGAAAATGAACAAATAATTCAGTGCATAATGTATATTTTTAACTCCTAATTCACAGTTACAATTTTTTTGTACAATTTCTACAAAGAATCTTTTGTTTGATTGTTCGCAAACAAGTTTTTAAATTAATTTCATTATTGAGCTGTGTTGTTTAGTTTTGATTGGACACATACATCACATGGTATTTCCCTTTGTTTAATAGAGTGATCTTAATTCTTAAAGACACAGTTTCTTGTGAAAATTATAAGCTCAAATTTTGCTCTCTGTTAATATGACAACTGAGTGAAATTAGTCCCTGCAGAGAATGCCAACACAAGGTATATGCATGATTAAAATTCTACATAAACCAATAGTGGTCTCAGTATTTCCCAGAGGAGACTATATCACAGTCAAATATACATAACTGTATCTTGGAACAGATACTTGTTAAGTGTTTAGACTAAGGATTGTAAATTCATTAGTTAACTCAAGTTACTTTGTGATCAGTTCATTCAAGATACAAAATGACCACAAACACTAGTCTAGTGATTCTCCTTGAGAAAGAGGAAATACTGTACAGTCTCTCTGATGGAGAGATGACTTGTATGGAAACAAAGGGGGAGGAGAACACAAGACTGAGAGACCGTCAGTGGAAACTGCTGACAAATTTGTGAATCTCTTACACCGGGAAAGAGCTTGGAGAGCAGGTAGAATGCAATTCAAAAGTGTCACTGGCCTGGGAGGTAAATCATTAGTACCAGCAGGGAGGGCGCAGCAGTGGCAGGATTCGCTTTATACAAAACTGGCCTTTATTGATACTAACATTCCGCAGTCATATGACTCTTAATGGGCAGAATGGTATATTTATTTACATTTCGGAAGGTCTTATCTCCCTTAGTCTTGAAAATCTCACTCTATTGATGAAATCTATTTCTTTCACATACCTCATCCATTATTTTAAGAGTAGTATCTTCAGACATTTTGAAACTCATCTGAAATTCTAATTAGAGTGCTCCCCAGGGTCTTTCAGTTATCTTTGGTAGAAATAAACTTTATGTGGATTTTTTTCATATATGTTCCCAACACACTATTTGTGTTAACTGTAGAAAATGGAAAAGGATTAAAAAAAACCCACTACTTTAAATACTATAAAATTATGCCAACAATCTGCTAATGCAGGCCTGGACAAAATAGGCCCAACAAGCCACCATATCTGGCCTGCAGATGCAGCAGGAAGCCTCAGGCAGACTCCTTGCTTGCCCAACTCCTTCCTGTATGCCACTCAGAAAAGCGGCTGCCGGGCCATTTGTGTTTCACAGTTGGGGTGGGGGGAGAGCTTTCATGAGCTGTTCCTACCCCGAGCACAATCCCATTGGCCAGTTTCTGGACAATGGGAGTGCCTGTTTGAAGAATAGGCAGCATGTAAAGCACTACTCCCCTCCCCTCCAGCTCTTATTCACAGACACACATAGCCCCAGCAGCCCGTGTGGTGGCAGGGCAGGAAGGGAGCCTGCTTGAGAAATGTGCTGGGCTGCTGGCTGGGAGTCATCTAGGTAAGTCTCCCAGTCAGAGCCTGCCTTTGGCATCCCAGCCTCTCCCTCCCTCTAACCCCCTGCTCCCCCACTCCTGTCCCCCTAACCCATATAACCCAAACTCTCTGCCCCTCTCCTGAAACCATATCCCCTCCCAGATCCTGCATCCCAATCCTCAGCCCTAGGTCACAACCCAAGCCCCTGTATCCCCTCCTGCACCCCAGTCCCGTGCCCCTGGTCAAAACTGCCTCCTTCACCCAAATTGCCTCCTAGACTCCAAACACTCTCCTGCACCCCAGTCCCTTATCCCAAGCTCCCTTCTGCACTCAGCCCCCCACACCTCCTCCATTAATATAATGGCAGAGTGCAGTCCCTGACCACTTTCCAAAATCTTGGAGTGGCTCCCCATCAAAAATTATTGTCCACCCCTGTGCTAATGAAAAATTTGAAAACTGCAATCTAGATACAACCAACAATTTTTCTACAACACTCTAAGTGCATATTTTATCTTGTTAATTGTTCAGTTTAAAAATTTTACTCAACAATTCTGTTCAAAACCATTTTAGGCACAGATATTCCATAACTGTATGCACATGTAGCAATAGAAAATGCATATATAAATCAGATAAACATTTAACTGCTAATATGTGTATGTACATTTTTAGTTTTACTATGCAACTGGACAGCAAGTTTTTTGACATGTCTACTGTTATTTCTATGACTTTGAATTAGATGTAATGGGTTATTTTTTCTCTGGTTTAACTCTGCTTGTTTGAACAGGGTTGCACCAAAGATGGCTGCCCCAACAATTCTGATGTCATCCTTTGCTAAAAAAGAAACAGAACCTTGAACTCAGGGCTTGGCTAATAAATAATATAATAGATTTTCAGTATTTGATTTTAAATATATACATTTATTTATTTATAAATTTTAAATCTAAATATTATGTTTTCTCTAAGGACCAAATCCTAGTTTCATGAAAGTTAATGATGAAGTTTACATTGATGGCTAATGATTTGGAATATGTAATATTTTAAAATAACTTTTTAAGATTATGGATATTTTAAAGGTTTTAACCAGATACAAAATTGATATTCTACTCACAAAAATGCTTATTTACAAATTAGGCTTTATCCTGCAGTCCTACAGCATAACTCCCACTGAAGTTAATAAGATAACACAAAGTAGGAAAGGAACTTTAAGCAGACATCTGTTGTCCACTCTTCGGGATGACAGAGAGAAATAAAAAGCTACGGGGATGAAGTATGCAAATTAGCGCTGAATAGGACTAGTCTCAAACATCCTAAATAACAGTTTCAGAGAGTCTAGATAATTCACTTACCATCCAAACAGAATTTTTAAGATGACAGAGTGCTTATGTATGGTAGCAATCCCGGTCTAGATAGGGATTCCATCTCAGATTCTAACAGTGAACACGTAGTAGAGAAGGGAATCGTTTAGGGAGTAAGGATTTCGTCATCAGCTTTTGCTGTCCTCCTACCTCATGGTCAGCGTTAGCTTGATAGAAGTTGGACTGAAGGGCAGCATATCTGCCTCCTCTTCTTTTTGAGCTCTAAGAACATCAGCTTCATTTTACAGTGTAAGAAACTGAAAATATGAGCCACAAGAGGGTTCTCCCGTAATCTTATTTCTGTCCAAATTAAGAAAACTGGAATTTTAATGAACAATTTCGGTATCTCTTTCTTTCTGTTGTGGACACTAAGAACATTTTTATCTCAATTGTGTAAGCCACTGACATACCCTGTTATTGTATTCAGGAAATGTAGAAGATAAGTCAGTAACTTCTCTGCTGCCATCTTCTGGAATATCTAAGGCAACACAGTATTTATGCTGTTTAATAATGGCATTACATTTGCCATGAAGATTCTATTTGGGCAAGCAGTGAGCTAGATACCATTCTTAGAGCCCTGCAAATCCATGGATATCCCATAGCTCATTTTTGTGGATATGGATGTAGATACACAGTTTGTGTCTAGAAGCCTGCAAATTTGTGGATATCCACAGGTATCCACATTCACAGATGGGGATGTAGATATCCATGGCTCATTTTTGTATTCATGCAGGGGCTCTAGCCATTCTCCTTTGATTTCTTTACATCATGCAAGTTAAAAGAAGAACCCATTAAAATTTCACGCTTCTGAAGCATCAATGAAATTCTCAAGAAATATTTCAAAACATGGTGTATTGGTACTTTTAATGCAGCTTCATTCTGAGCTGCAAATATTTAAAAATACTGTTGTACAGCTCTCTTGGTGTAAGTTAACCAAGAGGGTTATTTAGCCTACCTTAGTCTGGAAGCAGCAGTAGAGTTGTGTTAGATAGGGGTGTTTCCGTGCTAATGCCAGAATTCTTTTTTCTGTCATTGTACAGTCTACATCATCATCCTGAAGGATGACATCTTTCTTTAAGACTTTTACCGCATATACTTCATCTTTTCCTTTTAGCTCAGCTAGCATGACCTAGAACCAGTAGAAATCTTTGCTTACATACTGCACATAGAATCACACAAATATATTACATGACATGTTTAAATGCAATAGAAACAAATGCGTGCAGATTTTAAAAGTACGGAGCAATTAAATGGATAACTGCACTCACAGCACTCTCAAGATCTCTATTTTATGTGAAATTAACATTTTAAAATGGACACTTCTAGTAAAACTTAATATATCAGTCACATCATGTACACTTTGTCCACTTTAGTTAAGAATGCAGCCAGTTATCCAGTACTTTACAGCTTTCCTTCTATGCACAACTGCTGAGATCTGGATGATAGGGAAAGGGCTTCTGCTGCTGAGCTTGAGGAGGGACAGAACCCCAACACAACTTAATTATCACATAGCATGTGGAATTTTTAAGACTGGCAGATGGACAAAAGCAACCAACCATCATTTGACATTCAAAGTGAGCAAATTTGGAGTGGAAATCATCTGGATAGAGAAAAATCAAGGAATTCCATAATGTCATTTCTCCACTCTTGTTTCCTTTTGGAATACACCTGCTGTGACTATTTTTCCTGTAAAGCAGTATTTATTCTTGATTTACTTAATGCAATTTGAATAGTGAAATTCTGAAATGTAGAAATCTAGTTCAAAGCTCTTAGTCCTCATTTTTATAATGATTTAAACAATAAAATAAATCAGCTAATCAGCAGGATACATATTCAAGGTGGGAGCACTTTAGGCAATATTAACTAACACTAGCACTTTGTCCATTCAAGCAGCAGACACAAAAATAACCTATCCAGTCAGAGAAAGGCACCAACCTTGCCAAAGCTGCCTTTCCCTAATACTTTAATGAAGTTGAACTCTTCCAGGCCCAATCGTTTTGTCTGGACTTGTTTGACTTCCCCATTTTCACCATTCTCCCCAGGTTTATTAAGCTGGTTGTCTGCTGAAGATGTTGCTGTCGTCCTGTGTTCTTCTCCTCGATTGTCAAATGACAATGCTTTCCTAATGTTGTTTTCAAGCTCTTTGATTTCTGTGAAAAGATGGGAACAACCGATTGACTTCTCCACAAAACCAGTCCAATCCCATGCTATTATGGGCAATTCTGTCCCTCTTCTCACTATAAGAAATATACTGCTTGAAATTCTTAGGTAAAATTATTTAATTACCTAAGGGCTTAGGCAGTGAAATTCCCAAGTTTGTATTTCAATACCACATAAATAATATGATGCAGGGCAATCAATCTAAATAGACAGATAAAGTCATTCACTTCAAGTGCTACAGGTCCCATTCTGTTTCCAGAGTCACCACTGTAAATAAAGAATGCACAGTAACTCCTCTGAAGAAAAGACAGGACTATGTAGCACTTTAAAGACTAACAAGATGGTTTATTAGGTGATGAGCTTTCGTGGTCCAGACCCACTTCCTCAGATCAATATGTGGAAGAAAATTGGCATGACCATATATACACCAAAGTGATACAATCAAAAAAAATGAATGCATGTGAAATTGACAAATCAAATTTTAGAACAGAGTGGGGGTGAGGAGGGAAGGTTACTGTCTATGAGGTAATGACATAAGGGTGATAATAGGGGAAGTTTCTGTGAGGTAATGAAATAGGGGTGATAATTGGGGAAGCTATCTTTGTAATGGGTGAGATAATTGGAGTCTTTGTTTAAACCCATACATAAAGTATCAAATTTAAGCATGAATGACAATTCTGAAGCTTCTCATTGAAGTCTGGAGTTAAAGTCAGGGTTCACAAGAACTCTCTCTTCTGGATTCACCATTTCCCTGAGTTTCACTATGAAGTCAATGGAATAGGCTGGTGTAAAGGAGAGGAGAATCCAGCCCACTCATAATTAAAAAAACACATACAATTCACAAATTTCCCAACAGATTCTTAGATCTCTGAAGGTGATTTGGGGGGCTCACACGCCTTGTTTTATTAGGGTCTCCAGAGATAATGTTTTTAAAAGGATTGTCCCATATTTAAGCCCTCCTGCAGGTGACCCTACTTTTTTTTAAAAAATAGGTAAATATTTCATTTCTATCTCTCCCCTCCCATCTGTACTGGTGGGTTCTACTGCTAGCCAGATCTTTGCTCACCAGCTGCTCACCCACAAGCAGTGAATGTGGGCGTCCGGGGACTGACAATGGGGGTGAGTGTGCAAAGCTGGTGGTCAGGCAAAGCTGCAGCACGAGGGGCCGTCTGCTTCCCCCTTCTGGTCTGACAGTGCAGTCCCTGCTGCGTGTCAGCTCTTGACCAACAGGCTCCCCCCACCCCATTTCTAGCTAGCACTTCCAGTGGCTGGTGAGTGCGAGCAGGAAGTGGCTGGCTACATGTCACCTTTGCTGCCACCTATCAGCCCTTTACGCACTTCCTTTCTCACTGTCCTCTCCCTGCTGTGCCCATTCATACCCCTGTCCCACTCCCGGCCCTGCAATTCCCCAGACAGAGGCACTTAGCATTCTCCTCACATGCTGACACCCCACTCTAGGTTCTTCAGGTACGGTGTCCTGGGCTACTCTGTCCCCTATGCACTCTCCCCTTCCAAGCCGCCTCTCTGGCTGGGTTCTTCTGGTCCCTGGACTCAGTGCATCCTTTGGGTTTAACCCCTTCCTGCCTGCAGAAGGAGACAAGAGGTGGCTGGGCTGTGTTGGTGGCCAGCAGCAGCTTGGAGGTGTTAGCTGCCTTTTTACACTGTGGGCAGAAAGGCACAAGTTGCCTCCAGCCACAGGGAAGCGGGGAAGGGTGGGAGGAGGGGAGTGGAGGTGAGGGAGGAGCAGGAGGCAAGAGATGACCTCTGGAAAAACATGAGCCAGGTCGTCTCTATCCCTACCCCAATTCCCTTAGGCCCAACGCAGCTCCCATCCCTTCCCTCTCACATAATGCTGAAAGGCTGCTTCTTGCTGCATTCTGGTGTGAACCCTGAAATAAACTGGGGAGGGGTGCTGTGACTCTGCATGCCCCCTACATGTTGCCTTGTGAAGACCTGATGCCAGGTACCCGGAGAGGCAGGTCCCTCCTGAGGCTAGCCAGGCATGGAGAGTGGAGACCAATGAGTAGGGATGCTTGGGTCAGGTTGGTCAGTAACCCCATCCCCATGTGAGACAGGTGTACGGGAGTGTGTGTGTATTACCACTCCCTGTGCAAACCTTAAAGTTAAGCTGGTAAACTCCAACTATGCAGCATTTCTTTTTAACAGGGGCTCAGTCAACTTGATGTTCGCTTGAACATTTGTACTGCGTAGTTCTGATTGATTGCAATTGAACTTAAGTAATACAAGTAATTTTACTTAGTGTCCTGTATTCAGCACAGGGATATGGTCACCCTATGCTAAATGTTTATCACATTGTCTATCAAGGCCAGGATCCATTGAAACAGTACACTTACTCCTCAGAGAGATTGACATTAAAGCAATATTTATTGATATTAAAACGAAATAGATATCTAACCCTGGTCACATGGAGAGGTTGGTGCTGACTTTGACCTATCTTCTTCTGAAGGTGTGGTTCCAGGAACTGGCTGCTGAGATTCTGCACCTGCAATTAGCTAAGAACATTCCCACAAAAAGAAATTTAGCTGTGAGATCCTCTACTACAAAAAGTGCAAAATAAGCAACTTCAAAAACAAAATAACTTAACAAAGGGAAGGAACTGAGAACAAACACTTCATCCCTAAATTGTCTTACTGGCCATATTAAAAGTTAGATCCCAATGCCTACAGTACAGATTTTCACTTTAAAGATGAACCAAAATACTCATCAAAGGTGCAGATAGAAGCCTATGTAAGATTCTGGTTCAGTAACATGTGAATTTAACAACCACAAGCAAATGTATTTTACACCACATTAACCAATAAAGATTAGTTCTTCCATTAGGATCCACTTCTGCTAGGTAATAAGGGTACATCTACATAGCAGAGTTATTTCAAAATAACTGATGTTATTTCGAAATAACAATGTGAGTGTTTGCACAGCAATTCTGTTATTTTGAAATAACGGACAGTTTATTTCAAAATCTGTAAACTTAAATCTATGAGGAATAATGCCTATTCCGAAATAGCTATTTCAGAATAGCAGTAGAGTGGGCACTCTACTGCTGCTATTTCAGAATAACTCTTTTTCGATAAAGGGATGTAAATTAGATGTATCGAAATTGTAAATGAAGTTGGGATTTGAATTTCCCAAGCTTCATTTACATAATGGCGGCAGCGGCTTTTTTCTTTTTGAAAAAAACCGCAGTCAAGACAGGGATAGTTGGGACATTTCTGTCGAACGATATCCATCTTGACCGTGTTTTTTTTTTTCAAAAAGCGTCTTTTCGTAAAAAAGCTGCAGCCGCCATTATGTAAATGAAGCACGGGAAATTAAAATCCCAGCTTCATTTACAATTTCAATTACTGCTAATTGAATATGAGCATTTAGGAAACTGATACGGTATTCTAAAGGGAAGCAACGTTATAATGTCAAAGTGTAAATAAATCCTGGCATTCACTGAAATACTGCATGCAGTAACTTAGGGCACTAAGGTTTGTAAAGGCACTGAGGAACCTGAAGATGTGATTGGCATGGAGTGCAATTTTCAAAAGCTCCTAAGTTCCTAACTCCAATTAATTTTAATTGAAACATTAACAGGAGATAGTTGCATATACATGTGAAAATGGACATACTAGAATTAAATCTTTCCTAGCTTAGTTTTTTCCACTAGAAAACCTAAGAATATTTTTACCTGTAAGACATTCCATAGTGAGCTCAGTTCCTTCTTTACATTACATCTTTGTACCCATAATGAATTCAAAAGTAAATATGGAAAAATCAAATTTAATATTTAGAGAAAACACAGCCAGAGAGAAAACACTAAGTATAGCAGCGTACTATGTTTCACTAACCTTCAGCCAAGTATTTTAATAGATTCTACCTAACATAACTCCAACATTAAAAGTGGTTCAGGAAGTAGGGGGTCTGGATTTAGAACTAGGAGATTAGTTTCTATTCCTATCCCTGCCACTGAAAGCTGCACAATTTGGGGGAAATTGTTTTCCCTATCTCCCTCTCCATTTATTTTCTGCCGTTTAGTCTAAATCAGGGATGCGCAAGATATGGCCTGTAGGCCAAGCTGTGTGATCCAGCCCGCAGCTCATCCTGCTGTGCCCTCACCCCCAGGCCAAACAAAGCCTGGCGGTGGGGGAGCATGCGAATTCTCTTACCCCCCACCAGGGGCACATGGAACCAGAGGGAACTGCCAGCTGTTCAAAATGGCTGGTGGTTCTTTCTAGGCATCACATGCCCCGGTTGGGTGTGGGAGGGAAACTGCGCACTCACCTGCCCCCAGGCTCTGACTGGCCTAGGGGCAGGGGAGCAGCACGAAGTCTCCTCCCCCCACCAGGAGTGCACGATATCAGAGGGAACCGCTAGCTGTTCAAAATGGCTGGCAGTTCCCTCTGGGCATCATGCACCCCCGGAAGGCCAGGCCAGAGAGACCTCACATGCTCCCCTGCCCCTGGGGGAGCGTGGGAAGTCTACCGTCTTGCCAGGGACACAGCCCTTTCCACCTACAACTCTGCCCCTTCTGGAGCCAGCCCATGACCACTTCTAAAATTGGTAAAGTGGCCCATCCCTGAGGTAGAATCTAGCCTTTGGCAATTATATGATCTCATGACAGTCTTCAACCAGATAAGCGTGTTAACATAGCCATGTGTTTCAGTGAGAGAAGTTCAAAGTAGTCGCTTCAGCTTCTGAGAAGTCAGTTCCTTGTGCCAATCAAAAATAAAACCCATCTTGACTTTTTCAAATTGTCTTCAGGTTTGCAAAACTGAACCATATCAAAACAGATTTCCCCAAAACTTTACCAGTGATGATGTACACTAAAACGCCATAGCCAAATCCTTTTAGCCTTATGTAGCGGTGCGTTGGGGTTTTCCTGTCTCCTGCACCCCCGTAATGGCATGAACAGACTCCACCAGCCAGTAGAATAGAGAGAGTTTATTGCTTCTCTAGGATACAGCACAGCACAGATGTAATCTGGTTATAGGGCAGGCCTAGGATTCCTCAGCCCCCCTTTAGATGGGGGAGACTGGGCCCCTAAATTCCAGCCCCTTTCCCTAGGCTGTCTCTTCCATGCTCCCAGACAGAAACTAAAGATCCGTCCCTTCCAGCCCCGCCCCCAGCCAGGGGCGGCATTCCACCTTCCTTTGTTCCTCTCCCTGGGGGGGTAACTGGTAGATCAGGTTACCTCTCTGTCCCATCAGCTACTCGGCTGGCCCGTGGTACAGACAGCAGCCAGTAGGGGTCACCCACAGCCCAAGCCTAGCAACCAGCAAGGTACCCACACTACATCACACCTTATTCACATGATAAGGACATTGTCTCCAACAGGTTACTTGAGTGAGTTAGGTGAATAGATTTCAGCCCCAGCTGTTTATACTGATGTACATTCATTAATTTATTGCTCCTTTCACGTGTGATTATATCTTTGGTTACCTTTTTCCTTCGTTGGCCACTATTAGTGATCTTATCTGGCGTGACTCCAAGATCTGCAAGTACTTTAGCTATTCCTCTAGCATCCACTCCACAGTTTGGTGCCACATTTGTTTCACAGCGTCTATGTACATTCATCTTGCAAACTGCAATGAAATGTGTGGTGGAAAAAAAGGTTTTCGGTAAATTAAATAGACACGTATTTAAAATATCCATTTCATTTTATTTCAATCTGATCTTCCAGGAGCTAGCATTTCTTTTAAATATAATTCTATTCTATTTCTGTAGAAATAACCTGGGGATTACAGTAGACAAGAAGCTGGATATGAGTGAACAACATGCCTTTGTTACCAAGAAAACTAATGGCATATTGGGATGCATTAAGAAGGAGCACTGCCAGCGGATCAAGGGAACTGATCGTTCCCCTCTTTTTGGCACTGATGAGGCCACATCTGGAGTACTGCATCCACTTTGGGTCCCCCCACTACAGAAAGGATAGAAAATGAATAATTCTGCTAATCTCAGACATACCTTCCAACTAGAAATACATTTAGCGCTTTGAACCCAGCCTAATCCTGCTGCCACTGACTTCAAGGAAAACAGGATCAGGCCTTAATCTAGGTCTTTCTAATAAAGTGCTTACAGTAACATCTGTTCATCCGCTTTACTCATGGCTGCTGTAATCCTGCATCACACTAAGAAGCCTTGTATTCATTTACCTAGTTTTTATTTATATATGAGACCAATCTCCCCCTCTGGATAATTATCCTCTACACCAGATGCCCTGATTCCCACTCTCCCCTCTTCTCCCCCCCGACTGTTTCTGTAACTAGCACATTAGCATGACCAAGGAAGTCATGTAGTTTTCTGGTTACTCAGAAAGACAAAACAAGCAGTAAAGAATGTGGACTTCATTAAACATATAGTGGCCTGGATTTATTGGGAATCCACTGACATGTCTGAATAATTTAGCCATCAGCACCCTCTGGTGGAACAAGATACAGAGCATACAAAATTATAGGAGTTGGCAAGCACTAGACGGAAAAGGTTCTCTCACTTGAAAATTCAATTTGTCAAATTCCTCCCTATATCAACAAAATTATACAAGGCATGAATTAAGACCAGTTTACCACACTATTTTCCTATTAAGATTTTAACCAGCATCTAGTCCAATACAAGTGACACTGAACAGCAATCCTGTAGAAATAAATTCAGGTTCTCTTGTGTGCTCTGTGACTTTATCAGCAGTTTTGAGCACTTCAGATAGAAAGTACACTCCGAGCTCGCAAGGATGGAGCAGAAAGTTCTAGGAAGAAATCCCTGAGTGATCCATAATACAAGAGGTAAGGCCAAACATTTGGCCAATGAGACTTAACAGTATGCCTTTAAGAACTGAATTAGCTGAAATCAAACAAAGCACAAAATTCTGTGCATTCTCAGTATGTAAGGTCATTATAACAGAGGGAGGAAAAGTAATAACCAGAGCCAAACAAGATATAAGAAGTGTTTCTCAGGAATAAGCATAAGGAAAATGCTAGAGAGGGCCAGCATAGCGTGCTTAAGCAGGCAAGTTTCTGGAAAGGTGAGCATTGATGGACACTAGTTAAAAGAAAATAGGAAGCACAACGCTCCTGCAAGAAGCAAGAATTTCAGGTTATATGTGAATTTTAGATTCCTGCATATCATAGTGCATTTCTACAGGAAATAATTTTACAAGGAAAGCATGAAGAAAGGAAGGAAGATGCAATATGCTGAACCACTATTTGTACTTTAGCATTAGGTATACATCATTATATAAGAAATGCAGCCATAATAATGATGGTGGTAGTGATGCCAGAAAAAGAGAAGGAAAAGAACCCATAATCTAAGGCACTGAAGTTTAATTGTTTCAGAATGTAAAGGAGATGGGGGATTGACACCATAGTTCTGACTGGGAATTAGCAAATACCAAGACCGAGATGAACTAAAAAGGGTGGTCTAGATTTCCTGCCACCAGAATTAAGGTGACATAGAAAAATAGGGATGGCAATAATAGGAAAATAATTATCTTTGTCCTGACACTACCACTGCTCAATGCTCCATGGCAAGGCTTACATCTCACAATGCCCTTTGTACCCAGAGTAACTTCAGAAGATATTTTTATTCATAGACTATAATGCCTTCTATATGTGACTCTGAGCTCCTGCTCTCAGGAAAATCAGACAAACTTAATCCTATTTTTAAATGTACTAAGCTGAGTCTGTCAGCTTACAAAAAATAAGGTCTTTGCCATATGAAAAAGTTTTAAATTTCATTAGATATGAATTCTTATGAGTTTGGCATGAGCTTCCAACCATGATCCATTAAAAACCTACAACAGATGGTTTGATTCACCATTGATCCAAAAATGCTATTACCCTGGAAGTATTTGAACAAAGTTTACTTCCCCTTTCAGCACTATCTATGTGTCTCAGAGGAGTCTTAAGGCTGCCTCATTACCAAATGGAAATGTATATCCTCCTTTATGAGAAAAGAAACCCGGTGTTCCACAAGGAGATTTGAAACCACCTCTCCCTTGCTAAATCACAAAACAGCCTATGTCTAAGGGTATGTCTACACTAGCCACCCTAGTTCGAACTAGGGTGGCTAATGTAGTCATTCGAACTTGCAAATGAAGCCTGGCATTTAAATATCCCGAGCTTTATTTGCATGTTCCCGGGTGCTGCCATTTTTAAATGAGGAGTAACGATACAGGCAGTCCCCGGGTTACGTACAAGATAGGGACTGTAGGTTTGTTCTTAAGTTGAATCTGTATGTAAGTCGGAACTGGCGTCCAGATTCAGCCGCTGCTGAAACTGATCGGTTTCACCAGCGGCTGAATCTGGATGCTAGTTCTGACTTACATACAGATTCAACTTAAGAACCCCAGGCTCCGTGGCTTTGCTCTGCAGACCAGGGGGACGGGGAGCAAAGCGGCGGAACACACGGACAAGGGCTTCTGCTGCAAAACAGCTTCTGCCAGTGGCAGCCCAGACTGGCTGTGGGCAGAAGCTGCTCTGGCAGCAGCCTCTGTTTGCGGCCAGCCCTGGACCCAGGATGCCCAGCTCTTACTACATTTAAACTGCAGAGCTGCAGCGAGGGTAGCTCCTGGACCTGACGTGAGTTGGGAGTGAGGAAGCTTTCCCTTACTGTCTATTTGTGCAGTCAATCAAAATGTTATTGACCACATGATTAATGGATTACTCACCTTTTAACATCCTTACTTTATATCCCCGGGAACCCACAGCTGCGAACATGGTTGCTGATCTCCATGGCTTATTTTTTGTGGATACAGATGTGGATACAATTTTTTTTTTAATCTAGAACCCTGCAAATTTGTGGATATCCACTTTATATCCGTGGGTACCCACATCTGTGCATATAGATGCCTGGATGATTTTTGAAGATGAGTATACCAATTTTGTATCTGCGCTAGTCTCTATCCATAGCTATCTGCTTCAGGCTTTCTTGCACCTTCCCCTGACACATCTAGTGCCAGATGCTATCAGAGGCAAGACAATGACTAGATTCTGATCCATGATGGCAATTCTAATTACCATGTGCTGCCATCTGCTTTTCATTATTCACTACCGTATTTTCCAGTGTATAAGACGACTGGGCGTATAAGACGACCCCCTAATTTTTTAGTTAAAAGATAGGGTTTCGTCTTATACCCCAGCGCCCCTTCGCCTCCTTTGGGGACCGTCTCCAGCAGACCAGGGACACCGGGAGCAAAGCCTCTGAGGACGCCCCGGAAGCGGGACAGCCCCAGTGCGCCTGGGCTGCCCCGCCGCCGGAGCCCTTCCGCGGCTTTGCAAAGCCTCGGGGGGAGGC